CGGGCCGGGCCTGGCCGGGCCTGCCCCGCCCCGCCCTAGCTCGCTCAGCGTTGTATCTGACACCGTACCGTTGCAGCGGCGTGGGGCTAGCGCTGTGCCGGCGGCTGCTGGAGGAGGATGGCCGCATCCATCTCTGTATCGCCTGCCGCAACGCCCAGAAGAGCGAAGCCACGCGAGACCTCATCCTGGCCACCCACCCCGCCGCCCAGGTCTCTACGGTGGAAGTGGACCTGGGTAGCCTGGCTTCCGTCCTGCGTGTCGCCCGTGAGCTCCGCTGCAGGTATCAGATCTCTGTCCTCCACCCCACCATACCCCCCCTGCCTGCACTCCGCCGCACCGGACCCCCCTGTCCACCCTCTGCCCCTCACCCCTGTGCTCTTTCCTACACAGGTTTCAGCGCCTGGACTTTGTCTACCTCAATGCTGGGATCATGCCCAACCCACACGTGAACTTCAAGGCACTCTGGCATGGTCTCCTCACTGGGTAGGAGATGTTGGGGGGGGTCCAGTCCCCGGCTTGTGGGCAGTATGGGGTGCTGGCAGCATCATCGTGGCCAAGGCATGCCCTTGGGCCCAGGGCTGAAGACCCTATCTCCCTTTCCCAGCGTAACACAGAGCACATCCCTGTGGGATGCATGGCCTTGCGTGGGGTGGGCTTGGCAGCTGGGTGAAGTGCTCCAAGGCACCCGGTGCTCCTTCTGATCCCTGGTGTGAGGCCCACTGCCTGCAGGGGGAGGGCAAGAGTTCGCTCAAAGCCTGGAGCTCCTGGCACTAGGCATTGAGTGAAAAATGCTGGTGTGTTGCTGGGGAGGTGAAGTTTGCTCTTACTGGGTCTCCTTACTGTTGTTTTGGTTCCACTGTTGGTTTTTGTAGTTGTTCTCAGCTGTGGATCATGGTATTTTGTGAAGCTAAGAGTTGATGCTTGTTCTATAAGCACCATGGGGATAAGCGTCACTATTCCATAAGCAACATGGGGAAGTTGAGCTAGGGAGCAAAGTGACTTGCATCAAGTCTCGTACAGTTGTTGGGGTGTTGAACATAGATGCTAGACTGCTTTCCTTATCTGAATTAGGCATGGCCCTGGGGCTTAGTTCCACGCTGGAGCTTGATTTTGTTATCTGAATGTGAAATGGAAGAGCAAGACTTTTTTAATGGCACTTCACTGTGGTGAAGTGACGGAAGGGACAAGTCTAATCTGGTCTAGTCAGTATTGAGATACTTGCAAATAAAGGGGCTAGGATATTAGGTAAACTTTTTCCAGTCATTTTTTCATGGATTAATAGAGCCCTTGAAGGTGAAACTAGAGAGTCTGTGTGGTGCCTGTGAGGTGGGGGATACTTCTGAAGGACTGAAGTGGGGGAATAGTAGATGCCTCCTGGCAGTGTTCCTCTCTAACTCCTGTCCTTGGCTTCCAGGAAGGTGCTTCACATGCTGACCACTGCGGAAGGCATAATGACCCAGACAGACAGGCTTAACGGAGATGGACTGCAGGAGGTGTTTGCTACCAACCTCTTCGGACACTTTATCCTGGTGAGGCTGCGTATGACGATCGAGCCCTCGGTCTGGTGGTTGATGTGGGTAGGGATGGGTACAGGTGGTACTGATGAATCAGTTCTGTCTTACAGGTTCAGACGGTGATGCAGGCTGCAGCCTGACAGATAAGGAATGATAAGGCAAAAGTCTCGGGTGTTGTTAAAAAAGCAATAAATCATAGAATCATAGAATAATTTGGGTTGGAAGGGACCTTTAAAGATCATCTAGTCCAACCCCCCTGCCGTGGGCAGGGACATCTTCAACTAGATCAGGTCTCAGAGCCCCGTCCAACCTGACCTTGAATGTTCCCAGGCATGGGGCATCCACCACCTCTCTGGGCAACCTGTGCCAGTGTTTCACCACCCTGAGCATAAAAAATTTCTTCCTTATATCTAGTCTCAATCTACCCCCCTTTAGTTCAAAGCCATTCCCCCTTGTCCTGTCGCAACAGGCCCTGCTAAAAAGTTTGCCGCCATCTTTTTTTATAAGCC